GAGTGTGTCTAGAATGTTTTTGTATGTGGGCACCATAATTACTATATTGAATTGGTTTCTACCACGTCTTTTTATTTTTACAGAGCTTTCGCACTACCAGTGCATCATCAGGGCTTAAGTAATTTGTAATGATTTACATAAACTAGAAAACTATTTGCAAGCGCAAAATATAAACCAAAAAGATGTTGCTATATCTACGTATGTAAACCATTGACATTGCAAAAGTCGTCAAAAAGAGAAAATGTATGTTCGACAGCTGAACACCACGTTTTCTGAGCTTTTTATATATTTTTCTATAAAACATATACTGTTTTGTTTGTCTAAATTTCATAATGGTCAAGTTTGATGGACAAATGTCTCTCGTGCAAAGGTTATATTTAAGTATGACGTCACTAATTGGAATTAAACACTAGGAGAGATTAATATCATTATCCAAATTTACAGATTTTTATATTGTTCGTGTTCATAAGCTGGGAAGCTTTAAAAAGAGATTTAGTAAAAATACGCAGGTGATTATAGGAAATCTCGCGCGCTGATTGGTCAAGAAACTCACACTATCACATGATAATCACCTCGAGCGAAAATGCAAAATGGCGGCCAGCCGCTTCGTTGCTGTTACCGGAAAAAATGCCTTTTATCTTCTTTTTTTTTATTTTTTTGAAAGAATCACCTATGTATTTATCCTAAAGAAGCGCATACGTCATAAAGTCATCGCTATATTTAACAATTATTCGCCGAAGGCGAAGTGATTATCGGGGAATACTTACCGAGACGCGGCGTATGCGCTTCTTTCGTAAAGAGGTTGTTAAGTAAAGTAAATGGACATAAACAATAAGCTTAGGTTATTCCAATACCAATGAAAAGCTAATAAAAACTATGTATATCTTATATAGGTAGTACGGGGTGGTACGATTTTTATTGGGGAGGGCTTGAGGACTCGCAGTAAACCTTTAAATAAAGGCTAAAACGCTAGGGCGTGGCTGTTGAAGTTAAGGTGGCTCGGTATTTCCAAATGGCCGGATCGCTTATGTCGATTTTGGGCTCATACCTTTTGCGCCCTTTAAGCAATTGCCATAAAACTTTACTAACATCTAAAACAATCATTTAGTTATAATATGGTATATTCTGATTGCATTTCAGGTTAATAATTTGTAAGATGTAAGCGATTAAGCAAATGCACTGTTTTCACAAAAACTCGATTTTGCGAAAAATCTGTCCGTTTTGTCTGTTCAGAAATACCGCTACTGAAAGCTCACCTAAATTAACCATTGTGATAATCTTTTAAAGTTTTGAACTAAATAGTCTTCGACTAAACATGCTTGAATGCCATATTTTTTAAAAAGTAACAGCAATTAAGGCCCCGTCCACACGTATCCACAAATTTTTGCATCCGCAAATCTTTTTCTGCGGATACGAAAATGTTCGCGTCCACACAGCGTTTCGAATCGTTTTCACTGTCCACAAGTATCCGGAAATTTCATGATCCGCCCTGATGCACGCTAGTGCCTAGTCCCTTTGACAGATTGTTTTTCTTATTAAGCATGCGCAAAATCGTGTTTACATCATCGTATTCGAAAATTTGTGGATGCGACCGTCCACACGTATCCGTATTCGGAGCGTATTCGAAAATTTCCACTCTGGATACGGATACAAAAATTTCCGGATACGTGTGCACGGGGCCTTGATTTTATGCATAGCATACTACTTATGGCTATTTCTTATCCTTTTATTGCGGTCGGCGTTCGACCCACATCAATAAGCACGCAAAGCATTGACCATTGCTTAATTATTGCATAGGTGTAACAAATATAACAAGTGAATTAAAAAAAACTTTTAAAATGTATGTTCATGTTGCATCTCATGGATAAAGGTATTTTCGTTGCTCTGCAAATATTCCTGTCCAAGCCTGTGACATTGAAGCTTTTCCTCAAAGCCCCAAGTGTATTGCAGTCGGGTAACGCCAGAGACGCTTCTCTAGAAGGCTAAAGTCAAAGTCTGTAGTATCCATAGCAACTAATCATGTATGATAATTAGCTAAGT